GGCATCTGGAAGGTCTGGGCTGAGGGCACAGTCACCTCCTCCTGCCACATGCCTGACCGGATCAACACCATCACCCGGTCCCCTACCTTGAAGAATGAAAGAAGAGCATCATTCAGCGCCTCGCTCATCCACCCACTGGCGACTTATGACCTTCTACTATGTACGAGGCCCTCTTCCTAGCAATGAAGTAGCAAGAGAAGCGGCCACAGTCCTCATGCTAATCGTAATAATAATACCATGGAAAACAATAACAACTTACCTTTACTGAGTGCTTACCAGAGGCCAGGCCCTATTATAAGTGCTATAATAAGTTTATTACATATAAACGCTCAATTAATCTTTCCCGGCTCTTTGAGGTAGATATTGTCCTTATCTCAACTTTACAGATCTCATGCTTCACTATTGTGTAAGATCACTGAATGTAAGAAGCTTACATTAGGGCAGCATGAAGTATTGTTAAAGACATCAAACTGTTTTAGCTAAAAAAAAATGGGCTCTGCTGTTCACTGACAGTGTGACCTTGGGCAAATAAAAACTATTTAACTTTTTTGAGTCCCAGTTTTCCTGTCTGTAAAATAGAGCAATTATGAGGATTACATGGCAAAAAAATCATTTGGTAATTTTTAGCTCAACGTCTGGCACAGAATAAACAGTTCATAGTATTAGGTAATAACAGCGATAAAATGCCCGTAAAGATCTCTGAACCGCTAGGGTTGGTGCAATCACCTCACCAGAAGCATCTGAGCCAGCACTGGGGGTCCAGAAAACACCTTCACCCAGAGACAGGGGGTTGCGGTGATGGACAAGGACAGCCACACAGCCGCAATCCAACAGGAAGAGGCATCCCACCCCACCCCCCAACCTGCCCCAGCCACCTGCACAAGAGCCTCACTGCAGGAGGGAAAGGGAGCTAGGAAAACAGAATCTTTCCCTCCAGCTTAGCATCTGGGGTCAAGAGGAGGGCAGAGGAAAGGGGGCAATCTCTGGAAAAGGCAAGGCCTCTCCTCAATCTCTGAAGGCCATGGAGAGAGAAGTGTGGGTGCTATTCCAGGACAATCTGGGGCTGTTGTGGTCCCTGCCAGGAATGATGGGAATTCTGTATATTAAGGAGACTTGGGATCCGTGGAAAGAAGGCACGGGGCTCCCACACACACCCCTTTTCATGTCCTCAAGCCCCCACACTCCATTGACAAAGAGGACTGAAGGCAGGCTGGGATCTTTCCTTGCAAGCACTGGCCCGAGATGAGGTCTGGGGAATGGAAGCATTCCACTCTAGGACTCAGGACTAGGAGACTCCAGGACTGCTGGAAAGTGCAGTGTTCAGCCAGGGTTGTGACCAATGTGGCCCAGAACAAGGTTCACCTACCCAGGCTAAAGCCGACCCCTCAGCCCATCACAGGGCAGGGCCATGAACCCCTCCCCAGCCCAGACATCAGGATGGAAGGAGGGCTCTCCCCACAGAATCCAGCCTCTTACATCAGGTTCTTGCCCTGGACAGGATATCCTGTATTTACTAAGCGGAAAGTGTGGGGAGGGAGGTTAGGTGGGTGGCCTTCAAACATGAACTACAATTCTCCCCCCACCCCCACCACACACACACACACACACACACACAAAATTCCTCTTAGCACCTTCTCAAGAGTGGGATTACTTAAAAGTCAGTGGAAAGGGTGGGGCCAGAGCTGGATGGAGGCAGAAGCCCTTTAAAGGAGGAGATGTTGGCATGCACAATAAATTCAAGAATTCCAGCTCTGGGGGCGCCTGGGTGGCTCAGTCCTTAAGCGTCTGCCTTAGGCTCGGGTCATGATCCCAGGGTCCTGGGATCGAGTACTGCATCGGGCTCCCTGCTCTACGGGAAGCCTGCTTCTCCCTCTCCCACTCCCCCTGCTTGTGTTCCTGCTCTCGCTGTCTCTCTCTCTGTCAAATAAATAAATAAAATCTTTAAAAAAAAAAAAAAGAATTCCAGCTCTGGGATCTGGGACTAGCAGGTCCTGCAAGAGAAAGGCCGAGTCTGAGGGGGCCTCTCTTCCAGGGTGCTGATTCTAAAAAGAAACCCCCAAACAAATGATGTGCAAAGGCTTCACCCCAGGTCTCTCAAAAAAGTTGCTCATTTGGAACTCTTCGCTGTCCGGGTTTGTGGCCAAGATTAATGATAAACGAAAGGAGAAACAGACCGGCAGAGCTGGGCCAACCTGCTCCCAGTGCCACACCCCCCCCCAGTCCAAATGGGGTTTCTGAGGCGAGGGTCCTCCCGGAGGAAATCAGAGGCGTTTCCCCCACCCCCGCCCCCCAACGGTCCCAAGGGCAGCCTGGGGTCGTGGCCCGCCGCCTGAGTCACTGGAGGAGGAGACAGTGCAGTCACGGGATACAGAGAGCTTAAGACAAAGATCCAGAGACCCAATCTCGCCCCCACCAACCCCAAGATCAGAGTGGCAGTGTAAGGCCGATGGGAGAGCGGGTGGGAGGCTCCCTCTCCTCCATGATGGGCGTGCCTCGTCTCTTTGGCCCTGCTCTGGGAGGGGCCTCCTCACACCCCCACAGACCACGGGGCTGCATGTGACTGGGGCTCTGGCAGGGTCATGCGTCCCCGCCCAACCCGGACTACATAGCTCCTCAAGCTCCCTCGGGGAAAAAGGCACTAATCGGTACTCAGGTTCACAGACCACAATTACCCAGGGATTGTTTGGTGGCAGAGGTACAGGTGTGGTTTTAATGGGGGGGGAGGTTTGGCAGGGGGCGGAGGGGGGGGTAGTTGGTAAGGTCGTTGTGCGCATGCGCTTGGGTGCCTTATTGTGTTCCCCCCGGCCCCAAACCAGCACCGACGCTGCCGCTGCTGGGCGGCGGCCACAATTAGAAATGGTTGGGGAGGGGGCGATAACTCTATCTCCACTACCTACCCTCCAATATAAACCCAATTCCCCAGGGCCCTCGTAACACAGGCTCCTTTCCAACGCCTTCCATGCCCGTCTGCCCGGGTCAGTGCCAGTTTCTTCCGCCCTGCCACACCCCCGGCCCTCGCCCACTCGAGCCCCACTACCCGGTGGCCCCGGCAGCCTCTCCCTATCCTGCCCTGTCCCGCTCACCTTGCGGTCGTTGACTCCCTCGCCCACCGCGATCACGACGCCGGCGCCCTCCATGCCCGGAGTGAGGGGCAGCGGCGGCAGCCGGTCGTACAACCCCTGCCGTGCCATAAGGTCGGCGAAGTTGAGCCCGCAAGCCCGGACGCGCAGCGTCAGCTGGCCGGGACCGGGGGCCGGGGACACAGCCGGCCGGCTCTGCAGCTTCACCTTGTCGTAACCGCCGAAGCCGCTGAGCACTAGGCACCGCAGCGGCGGCAGCGACGCGGCGGCGGCCCCCTCGGAAGTCGCGGATGGCTGGGCGTCGCCAGCGGCCTCGGCTTTCGGGGGCTGAGAAGAGGAGTCTTCTCCGGCCCCTGCTTCGGCCGCCGCCACCGCGGTGGCCGCCTCGGCTACCTCTCTCTCCGTGGACATGTCTGGGACTCCCGACGTGCGCGCAGCTGGACCGAGGGTGCACAGCTGGGGAGGGCGGGGCGCGCGTCGGGAGGAGCCGCGGCTGCGGACTGCGCGCGGGAGGGGCGGGGCCTCGCGGGCCGACTTAAAGGGCCAGGACCACCGCGCGGGTGTTGGCAGGAGCGCGAAAGGTGGGAGACCTGGAACGTCTGGAGGGAGACCCGCACGAGGGCATTCTTAAGGTCATGCAGACTGCGACTTAATTTGCTTATTTATTCATAATAAGCCTTATGCAAGTTAATATGTAAAAGGACAATCTGAAGGACGATCCCAGAACCTGAGCTTACATCAGATTTGGGAAGCCAGCCACCTGTGGACGGGAACCCAACTAAGTTGTTCCTCAGGCTCTAACTCTACCCATATGTGACTCATTCGTGTGGTCTTGCAGTGGCAACTTGGAGCAGGGAGACCGAGTCTTTTAAAACTTTCCATCTGACTGTTAAAATTCTGTGCCTCGACTTTCCCTTCTGTAAAATGGTGATGATATTGCTTGCTCTAAAAGATAAAAATCGAGTATAACCGATTTAAAGAAGCGCTTTTAAAAGGTAAAAGATGCCATGCAAACGCAAAACAGTGGTGTGATTTATCGTTAGACTCCGGATCAAGCCTTAAATGTCTCCATCAGGCCTGTCGTGAGCAATTCAATTTTCCTCTTTCTCCCCATCTCTGTCTCCCCGAAGTATCCACCAGAGGACGCAGCTCCCCCAAAACTTTCCACCCTGGGCTTGGCTGGAGAAACTCAGTCCACAATTCCCTGCTAGTCCAGGCCCGCCGTTAAGCCACCCCAGCCCCAGACTAGGCCGTCCGTTGCTATGGGGACGGAAAGCCCTGATGTCACCATTGACCGGGTGGGTGTGTTGGAGTCCATACCCTCATATCCCCAAGACTCCCTGCCGGGACGTTGAGAGAGGAGGGGTAAGACCGAACCAAAAAGACTCCCTCCTCCTACCATCTCGCGCCCCCTCCTGTTCAGGGAGTGGATGGCTGCCCCCGCGCGTGTCCGCACTAGCACACCGGCGTGCACGCGTGGGCACACAGAAGGCCCGAGTCTCGCGCATTTGCCGCTTTCACCCTACCCCTCAGAACTTCGCCGAAACTCTGCCCCGAGCCCCTCTCCAAGGAAGTCAAAACAGTCAAATAAGCCCGGCTCGGCCCGCCCCAAACCTACAAGGGTTCCTCAGGTCACCCCCACGCGCTGGAATCCTGGTCCGGGCCCTCGGATTCCTCGGGCCCCGCCCAGCTCCTCTGGGCCCCGCCCCTCCGGCTGCGCGGGTGGGAGGCGGGGCCGGGGGCGCGGCCGTCGGGCTGGGGGCGGGGCGGAGGGGGGGCCGCGGCCCCGGGCGGGGGCTCGGCGCGGGCCCGCGAGATGCCGGTGTCGCCGGCCGGAGCGGCTGCAGCTGCAGCGGCGGGGGAGGCGGCAGCGAGTCCCCGGAGGGGGGCTGCGCAGGGGGCCGGCGCGTAGCCGGGACTATGGAGGGGCAGAGCGGCCGCTGCAAGATCGTGGTGGTGGGGGACGCGGAGTGCGGCAAGACGGCGCTGCTGCAGGTGTTCGCCAAGGACGCCTACCCCGGGGTGAGGGACCCGCGTCTTGGGAGGCGGGCGCTGAGGCCGCGGGGATGGGTGATTAGGGCCCTAGGGACGGACCGAAATGGGTGCCGGGGTAACCAGGGTCGAGAGAGAAGGGCTCGGAAAACCAGGGACCGAGGGAGACGTTGGGGGTTCTGGGGGACTGCAGAGGATTGGGGTAGGGGGAATTGGGGAGCAGGGTGAAATGAATGGGATTTGGGAGAACCAGAGGATCCAGGAGGGGACGCTAGGGGAATGTCGGGGGTCCTGGGCATTGGAGAGGGGAAGAACTAGGGGCTGAAGGGACAGGGAGGGGGTCTGGGAACCTAGCAGATATTCCGCTGAGGCAGCCGCTCCTGGGATCTCCCCTTTGCCCAACACCAGACCAACTTGTGTCCAGGGGCTGGGCTGGACGGTGTGTGGGAGTGAGGAAGGCATTTGTCTGGGATGAAGACCGGAGGATCTCATCTTGACCCATCCCTCTCTGCAGAGTTATGTCCCCACCGTGTTTGAGAACTACACCGCGAGCTTTGAGATCGACAAGCGCCGCATTGAGCTCAACATGTGGGACACTTCAGGTAGCCAAGTCCCTGGGGTCACCCTGACTTCCTAGGCCCCCACCTTGCCCCTCCCTTGGCTAGACCCTTAGGCTCCAGGTAAGCCCAGCCCGTCCATCCAATTTTAGAAGGAAGGAAAATCAATTTTCTGCTTAAAGCTGGGGAAACTGAGGCAGAGCTTGCAGAGACACATAGAAATCTTGTCCTGAGAGAGAAAGCCCAGTATCCGCTCCTCTCAGCTGGATTCTGCCTACCTGGGAAAGTTGGGAAGAATGGATTTATTTTGGAACATGTTTCTTAGGAGATAGGGCTGGGTTTAGAAAAGACATTTAGAATTTCTTTGAGGGGTGGGGAACTGCTTCTATAGACTGAAGTGTAGAAATCTGAGATGTCCCAATGGGTGGGAGAGCTCTGCCCCTGCCCCTCCTCCTCCTCCAAAAAAGGGAGGAGGGTTTTTATTTTACTCAGCTCCCCTGGAGGGCTTTAGAAGATGTCTGTCAAAGCCCAGAAAGCATATGCAAAATTTTGAGAATGCCCAGAGATTTCATGATCTTCTCAAAGACTCAGAAAAGATTAAGAATGATTACTTTTAGAGAAACCCCTAGGGAAGTGGAGAGCTGTTTTCTGCCATCTAATCTCCGCTCTTCCTGCTCCCCTCCTTGGAGAAACCCGGACTCCTTGATGGGTATTAACAATTGCTCGTTTCCATTCTCTGCTCCTAGCATCCCTTGGCCAGGATTGGTAAGGTCTCCCATTCCCTTCCAGGCCTCCCACCCACTCAAGATCCTCGTCTGTCCCCTCCCTCCCTGTCTTCTCTCAGGTTCCTCTTATTATGATAACGTCCGGCCTCTGGCCTACCCTGATTCAGATGCTGTGCTCATCTGCTTCGACATTAGCCGACCAGAAACACTGGACAGTGTCCTCAAAAAGGTGGGAGCCTGGGGAAGCAGGCTGGCTAGACTGAGGGGGACAGAAACCATGGTCCTGACACAACATGGGTCAGGAGGAGGGAGTGATGTTTGGGGCATGGTCATCAGCTGGAGAGTGTGTGAAGCTCTCTTCCTTCCCGATCCCTCTCACCACCACCCCCCCCCCCCCCCGCCCTCCTTCCTGAAAGTCTGTTCTCAGAGCTGGATTCAGAATCTGGGGGAGATAGAGGAGGGCAGGGAGAAGTACTCAAGGGATTCCTTATCCATCCTCCCCATCTCCTTGGGTGTGGGAGCCCCAGATGGAGGGGATGGGAATGCTGCTCCAGGAGCTCAGGAGAGCCCTGTGGTCTCCTCTCCAGGCCTCTATTTCCATGAGAAAAGCCCACGTTGAATGGACAGAAGTCAGCTAACGCAGCCCTAGTTCCCAGATGGGGGAGGGAGGGCAGATTGGTCTGTTCTCAGGAACTAATTTGGGAAAGGGGGTGGGAATGGGAAGGTTTCAGGCCGGTAGACGCTTTATGGCGACTGAGGTAGAAGCAGGGCCCCTGACCCCACAGCCCCACCCCAGCCCTTTCCTCCCTCCCCATCTCCTACACTCCATCCTGCTTCCAGGCCAAGCCCACCATTCCTACCTTCTTGCTCGCATGGGAGAGTCCAGAGGGGTGCATGGTTTCTGCATGATGTGAGGAAGGGTGTTCTCCTGGCATGGAGCAAGGATTCACCGTGTGCCTCCTCCTACTCCTCCATAACTGTTTTCTTCCCCCAAATAGTGGCAAGGGGAGACTCAGGAGTTTTGCCCCAATGCCAAGGTTGTGCTGGTTGGCTGTAAACTGGACATGCGCACCGACCTGGCCACACTGAGGGAGCTGTCCAAGCAGAGGCTTATCCCTGTTACACATGAGCAGGTGGGACTCTTGACCTCTGACCTGGTCCCAGCCTAGACCTCTCACCTCTGCCCCTCTCTATCTCTGATTTGAAAACCACCCTACTTGGCTCCTCCCTTGCCCTGATCTCTGACCTCTGACCTCCGACCCCATCCCTTGACCCCACCCCCACCCACCCCCCACGCCCTCAGTCTCCCTGCGCCTCGCTGAGCTGCAGGCTAAGCCCCATAACTTCCTCCATACTCTCCACCCTTCCAGGGCACTGTGCTGGCCAAGCAGGTAGGGGCTGTGTCCTACGTGGAGTGCTCCTCCCGGTCCTCCGAACGCAGCGTCAGGGATGTCTTCCATGTGGCCACAGTGGCCTCCCTTGGCCGTGGCCACAGGCCGCTGCGTCGTACTGACTCGCGCCGTGGACTGCAGAGATCTGCTCAGCTGGCAGGCCGGCCGGACCGGGGCACCGGGACCGAGAGCGAGATACACAAGGATCGAGCCAAGAGCTGCAACCTCATGTGAGGGGCCGGGGTGGGGCAGAGTGTAAGGAGGGGCGGTGAGGGCACAGCTGTTCCCTGCTGCACCTGGTTTCCGGGCCGCCTGACTCTGGTAGGGACCTCAGGGCAGGCCGAGGGAGCGCTTCTCCTGGGCAGGAGAGCTGAAGGCAGAAGGGTGCCACCATTCCCCACCTCCTCATCCCCCTCGTCCCCACAGCAAGTGGAGGAAGCCAGCGGGACAGGCATTGGGGCTGGGAGCTGGGCTGGGGAGGGGGTTGGGGAAGCCGGCATGGAGCAGTGACTTTGGTTGAGTCTTAGTCTGTGAAGGGTGCCTTCCCTCCCCCACCCCCCGTATCCATATCCTGGCCCTGGCTTCCTTCCCTAAGGAAAGTGTCCATTCTGTGGCCTTCCTTTTTTTGCTCCTTTCCCTTCCACAGCTGTTCTCACTCATCCTAACCTCCAGGCAACACGCACTAAATTAAAAAGCAAGTTGAGAAGCCCCTCCCCCACCTACCCACAGTCCTATAGCTCCCTCAATCCCTTCCCCCAGCTGTCCCCAAATAAAGCCCATGTCCATGGAAAACGGCTGTGGCTTTAGTTTTGTTGCTTTCTAAAAACCCATTCTACCAATTTCTAGCAGCAGGAGGGGGGAAGTTAGACTTCAGGAAGAACTTTCTTGTCTGTGCCCACAGAGGAAAAAAGCCATGGGTCGGATTAGCAGTGTCCTTTTAGGAGCCAGAGGTGGGGGAGTGAGGGATCATGGGAATATTCATCTCAGTTAATGAGCCAGACAATCCTAAGGCCATTTGGGGTTTTTTAAAGTGGACTGATGTGCAATTCATTCCTCAGCCCAGCGGGGGCCCCCTGCTCGAGTGGGAGGGGTCCTGCTGAAGTAGTCCAGGCCCCTTATACACCACCCCCAACTTGGAATCTGCTGGTGCTCTAGGAGTTGTGGGGGTAGGGAAAGTTTCAAAAACCTCCAGGTTGCAGAAGCTGACTCTTCTGTGCAGTGAAGTTACCCAAGGGACAGTAGTTTGATTCTGGGGTTTCCTTGGAGGTGGGGGCAGGGGCTCTCACCTCCTTTCCGTCTTGAGCTCCTGGATGATTTTGGAGGGAACATCAGCTGTGAGTTAAGGTCACTGCCCACCCTCCCCCCCCTCAACCCCAACCCCAGAAAGGAGGAAAGCTGGTGGAGGGGCTGGCGGAGCTCCTGTTGTCACGAAAGACAGTGCTGGTCTGTTTTCTTGGGAGTCTGGTTTCACATTGTCCTGTATTCCCTCCCTGGCTCTGTTCCCACTGGCCTCTTTTCGGTGACATTCTCCCCCAGGAACCATCCCTAGCGGTCCCCTCCCCCAGCCCCAGCCAGTTCTTCCAGACACACACTCTGGAATAGAACACAAACCTCACCCTCCCATCTGCTGGGTTCCCCCCGAATTTGCAGCCATCCCTCCCTCGTTCATTCAGCGGATATGCACTGAGCACCAACTGTGTGCTAGACACCGGCTTGGGATTGTGAAAGGACCAGTCTCTGTGCTCTGGAGGCCAGCCCAACGGGGAAGAGAGGTACCCCAGGTGTGACAGTGCCTTGCCTGTGGGAGCTCCTTACAGCCTCAGGCACCCAGTCCTCTGAGCCAGGTCCTGAGGGCTGCAGGAGAGTTTGTTTGGCAGGCGTGGAAGGGGTAGGAAAGGCGCTCTGAGCAGAGGGTAAAGCATGTGCGAACACGTGGCGAAGAGAAAGTGTGGCACGGTTGGGGCTGCCCTGACGAGGGGGGCAGAAGACAAGGCCCGGAAGGTACATCAAGGCCACCATAGGGCCCACAAAGGAAACAGGTCTTCATTCTGAGGATGTGAGAAGGCACCAGGGGTTCCAAGCAGAGAGGAAGTGACCAGATTTGGTTTTTTGGATAGATGGGTATCTGGATGAGGTGTTGGGGACTAGGGGGAATGTGGCTCTGAGATGTGTCCTTTAAAACAGCTTCTCCTTCCCTATGCCAGGGCCCAGTCTTGAGAGGAAAGGAAATCCCATCTACTGCTGGCTCATCAGACAGCCCTTTCCCTCCCTCTCCTACAGGACCCTGTCCCTGTCCATCTCAGCTAATCTCAAGGATTCTGGGACAGCTTCAAGGGTCCTGGGCACCCAAACTGAGGTTAGGAGCTGACTCCAAGACTCTCCTCCAGGATCCCGAGTCCTGGATGGGAGGTGCTGGAGAGGGCTGGGTCCCAGCTAGGGGGCTCTGAGGACTGACTCCTCCCCCACAGGGACCTGCCACACCGTCAACCTGGGATTTGGGGCCATGGCTTTTTTCCCCCCACTTTGGACTTTGATACAAAGCCGACTCAAGCCTATAGCCACCAAAGTGCAGAGCGTCTGGGCCCCTCTCTTCTCCCAACTGCCCTCTCCTGCCTCGCTCAGGGAATGCAGATGCATCTCAATATCCGCCTAAAGCAAACAAAATTAGGAAAATAAATCAGCGGGGGAAACCCCCAAAGTTTAATACATTTCCAATACCACCAGGAACAGGTTGTGGTCTCCTGTGCAGGTCTGGGTTGCCAGACTTTTGACTGCCTGGGGAAGGGCGCTGTGCTGCTGGGCCGAGGAGCTCAATGGGTGGGAGGAGGGAATGGGGCTGTTTCTAGATCCTCAAAGGCCCCTGCAGGCTGGAGGGAGAGGACTCTAACCCACACCCCAGATGCCAGAGTCAGACCCAGTGAGACCCAGCTTCCTCCTTCGCAGCTGTTTCCCCCACAAATTAGACACCCGTTTGGGAAACAATGTAGCCTCGTTAATCATTTAATGAAATAAACAACTAATCACGCTGTGATGCTGCCAGTGTTTCTTAACCCCGCAATCAGCCTGCCCTGGAGGGAGGAGGGAGAAGGAAGGGGTGCGGGTAGGGGCGGGACATGGTCTAACCCCTGAAATGCTTCAGCTGACTGGGGGTCATCCCCTTGGGACTCCAGCCTTCCCCCAAGGGACAGTCATGAAAAAGAGCTGGAGATTTGGAAGCAGAGGGCCTGGGTTTCAGCTCTGCCACTTACTCCCTGGGGAGCATTTGGTGAGGTTCCGCACCTGTCTGAACCTCAGGCTTCACACCTGGAAAGGAGCTGATCACCACATCTACTTCACTGTGTTGTTGAGGAAGAGTCGGAGAGAAGGCAGGCCACAGAAGAGCTGTTTGATCCTTCATAGGTGGCTGAGCTGGGGTCAGCCTTTATTCCCTACCGCTTTCACATCCAGGCCTGACTGCTTCTGGGCCTGCCGGAGGGAATCAGGAGAGGCCTCTTGGAGGGGGCTACTTGTGCTCAGGAAAAGACAGGAAGGGGAGGTCTGTGAGTGTTGCTCCCTCATCTATCCTGAGGGCTAGAGAGAGCGTTAATGAGTCCTCCAAAGGCTGAAGTCCTTTGATCCCTGATTTTCTGAACTCCCCCACAAACTTTTCTGCAGTGTCTGGGTGAGACTGCAACCCCACGTTGCCATAGTGACCTCAGCCCAGATAGGCTCAGACTGGTCCTGCAGGCTGAGGGAGGTGGGGGGAAGGGGTCATGTCCCTGAGGTTCCCAGTGGTCCCCAGGACCCTAGCAGGCAATCCCAATACAGCGGTCTCTGCCTCCACACTGGTTTCCCCAAGAAAGGGGTTTGGCTCTTCTGTGGTGTCCTCCCCACCTTTCGCTCTCTGCCAACAGAAGAGTTCCTTCTGCACAGTGCAGCCCCACTTCCACCTTCCTCCTTCCAGCCGAGTCTGTCTCCTTCTCCAGTAAATCCCCGACGCCCTCTCCTCGTGGGTGGGAGTGAGGGTCAGAGAGAGGGGAGGCTCCCCAGCAGCTGCCCACCCCAGCAGCGGAAGGAACAAGGGGCATGTGCAGGAGCGCCCCTCCCCCCACGAAAATGCCTTTGCTGTTGATTCCTAAATAACAGATGTCTGTCTGCATATTAATGAGATTGGACGAATAATTGGTGAGTTTTTCATTCAGTGTCAGAATGAACCCGGAGGCCTTATGTTCATGCACACAGACACCCACTCACACCCCCCGCGCACCCCCCCCACCGCCTGACTCTCCCCTTCCCCCAGAGTACAATGAGACAGAAGCAGATGCTGGTGAGTTTGACCCACAAAGGGGAGGGGCAGACAGGGAGCTGGGGTGGCAGCAGGAGGGAGACCTCAAGGGTCTGGGGCTAGGCTTGTCAGTTTCTCCCTCTTGATCATGGTCTCCCCGGCCCCCCCGGGGGCCTAAGCTTGCATTGTGAGACTTCACCACCAGGCAAAAGGGACCCAGAAGAAGGTGGGAGCCAGAAGGTAGAGAGGGTTGTGGGGAAAGGCAGGTGTAGCCTGGGGGGAGCAACAAAGCAGGGGCCTCCTTTAGCTAGGTTGTGCCGCCCAGGAACCCAGAATCAGTGGGCCCCATACCCTGCTTTAGCCCCTATGCCAGGGTGTGGGGTGGAAGAGCAGGGACTCTTGAGTTCGTTATCATTTGCCCTCTGGGTGTTCTCCTGCGTGTTTCCCAACCTCTCTGAGCCTCTCCTACTCTCCTCAGCTCCAAGAATACCTACCTTGCAAGACTGAAAAGATGAAATGAGATAAACTATGTCAAATGTCTGTCCTAGTGCCTGGCTTACAATAGGCCCAACACATAGCAGTTCCCCCACCGATCCCCCAAACACACCAAGACAGTTTCAAAAATCACTGCCTCTCAGGTGCCTGGGTGGCTCAGATCATGATCCTGGAGTCCCAGGATCGAATCCCGCATTGCATCGGGCTCCCTGCTCAGCGGGGAGTCTGCTTCACCCTCTGACCGTCTCCCCTCTTCACGCTCTTTCTCACTCTCTCTCTCTAAAATAAATAAAATCTTAAAAAAAAAAAAAATCACTGCCTCTCCTGCCAACCCCACCCGCGTCAAGGCAGGGGTTAATTAGAAGTTTAGTAATTACCCCAGCTGCCTGGAAATTGGAAGGGAAAGAGACAAGACACAGAGGGGCAGGAACAGAGAGACGAGATGGATAAGGGAGAGGGAACTGAGAGAAGCCCAGGCCTGGAATAGAAGGAAAGAGACCAGGGCGACCCTGAACCACCAGGTGGGGATGGCGAAGGTACTGCAGGCAAGTGGAGTGAGTCCCTTAACGAGAGGCTAGAATCTAGATGGTAGATTTCCAAACCCCAGTTCTGCCATGAGCTCGGCCTCGGAAGTCTCCTCCCCTCCTACCACCTCAGTCTCCCCATCTGTAAAATGAGGGACTTGGCTTACTCTCTAAGGTCCCTGCTCCGCGTGTGAGAGCATGAGAGTCCCAGAGGCCCCAGGCAGCAGGGGAGGGGAGGCGGCTGCCCCCACACCTACCCCCTCTCTAGGGCCCAGCAGTCACTCTTGCTCGCCTCCTCTCTCCCTCGGTAAATGGATCTGCTACACAGCACACAACTGTCCATTGTGTCCTAATGAGGGACGAGCAGGGAAAACCAATCACTTATGATGCAAATGAGCGGCGGCTGCAGCCTCCGGGCTCTCCCTGAGGGCCTCTCTTCTGCCCGGACCCCGGCGCTGCCCCTGTTGGGCCTTTCTC